GGAAAGGCCATTGCCTGAAACGTCACGTATAATGTACATTTTTCCTTTTAAGGCAGTGTTATTGATGAATGTCGACTCTTTGTCTGTTATTTGTGCATCACTCCCAATGCAGTATCACAAAAGTATATGCATACATGTTTTATTATCTACGCGTCTTACTGCCATTCCATACTGACCAGCTGTGGTGAGGCATGGCCAAACAGCCCCCATAACCAGCACGATGTGGAAAGACCCATCATCCAGCAGTAGATTCACAAAATGCCGCTTAATTATGATTGACTTATTTGGATGTCTTGAACAGTCCTGTACATATGTACTACATACAAATGTGAAAAAAATTACCAGCCAACCAATATATATATTTGTACACCCCCGTGTACAGTGGTTATGTATGGATTTTGTGATGTATGTGTTTGTAAATGTCAGGCATAACATTCAAGCTTCAGTGAACGTATAGAAAACAGTACTTATTAATTAAAAATAGCATGGTGTTTTGAATTTGTAGTTTAACTTCTTTAGAAAAGTCAGCTCAAATGACAAGACCTTCTCAGTGACAACAAAAATCAATATTATTTCCAGTGAACCTGTTATTTATTGAATCTGTAAGTGTCTATGCAGATATTTCATCTTTATACATCTATAGATGTGTAACTGTACATCGAGGTCCTTTGTAAATCCACGGTTGGATGGAGCGATGGTGGTGGTGCAGTAGCTGGCACGCTGCACTACGAACCCGACACGGCCAACATCAGTGGCGCGTTACATTTCACACGCTCCTGGGGCCCCTTCACCAGTCCGTACTCAACAAGCTGATTACGTTTGATCAATTAACCCGCATGACTGATACAGAGTGGAGATGCTTTCGTCCAGCAGTAGACTGACAAATGCCTGTAATTAGTACATTGTGTATATATAAGTGCATAGAAGTCTAAACATCAATGTTGTGGTCACATGGACAAAATAGCGATTGCTGTCATAATTTAATCTGTTTCAAGTTAGACACCACATGCAACTCTGCTGCTATCGTGTAAAAGCAAATATAGGTAGACCTCCAACCTGTCTCTCCACATATCATTGAGAATAGCTTTTAGTCCATCAACCCATTGGCTTTCCAGACCAATGCTATCAAGCAGCATTTCATTTAAGCAAGCAGATTCTGGGAGCGTCTCCGACCTTTGGAAGTCTCGTCCGGCCGAAGTCGGATGCGCATTCGTCGAGTAAACACCTTGCGTGCATTCGGGCCATCGGGTCGTGACTTAGGCGCGGTCTGGCAGCAGCGTTCATTCGGTGTTCACCGCTTGCTCGCGAGCGCAGGAGGAGGTGCGTGGTTCAACTGGCCAAGATCGATGGCGAAGCGCCTTTCTGCGAAAAACTGCGGCGTCGTTGAGCTCACGGATTCCCACGCCCCGAGCCAGAGCAGAGCGAGCGACTCGGGTTTGTCGTCGATGGGAAGAGAGATTTTCCACATTAGGTGCATTCTCATCGTTTAATAATTAATGTCGCCGGTGCATCCTATTTCTGCTCCGGGTCTCAGAAAAAGGGCTGCCCATATCCGTGTGCCGGCCGTAAATCTATAAATACTGTTAATGGACTAGTTATTTATTTATCTGTTTTAATTATCCCTGCCTTTAGCGTGCTCTTCTCTGCAGTATCTGTGGTGGCCACTTTCCAATGACCCCGTTGATTGCATTTTTTTGCAAAAGATCACCAAATTTATTTTTTGCTGTGCAAAAAAGCAATGGAAAAGGATAAAGTTTTTCATTTTCAGTTATATTTGATTGTTTTTGTACATTAAATATTTAAATAGAGGTGTAATATTTAAAATCTTGACTATTTTAACATTTTATGCCATTCTCTTTTTATCCTACATACAATTATCACATTTAAACTATTCACTTCAGTCTTATAAAATAAAAGTAACACATGTTTCATTAATATGAATAAACGTGTTCATTCCCGGGATAATTTTTAATTGCACTCTTATTTTATAATTATAATTAATCCGGCAGCATGGGTAATTGATGTTGTTCGTACCACAATTTGGAAAAATGTACATTACATTTATAACGATGTAGATTAAAATTTGCACCACTTTAAATAAGTGTAATGTTTCAAGAAATTGCTCTTGTATTACATTTTTTCTTACTTTGTCTTTTTGCTAGGACATGCATAATTAATGTAAAAAACAAAATCCTATTTTCAGAAGTAATTTTTTTTCCATAGAGGTTGCATTTGTTAATTCTGTTAGCTGTTATGAGTATATTGCCTTTTACCTAGAGTAATACCCACTAGAATCTCACTGGGGTCAATACAACACGTCTTAAAATAATAAATACAAATAGATAAATACAACTTATCGCACGCTGTGTGTGTGCCTACTGCTAATTGAATAATAATATGAAATATCACAACAATAATTACATGCAATCCATAATAATACATTTATTTTCAGGACTATAATTTCCTCAATTTGTTCCATCAAATGGAATACGCAGCTACACTAATTATATCATAACATACGTCCACCTTGTAATAATATATTTTACTTAGCATGAGCAAAAAATATGAGGAAGGTCGCAGCAGACTGTGCAGCGTGCGAGCAAATCCAAGTTTGATGCTCTGTCGAGTGCGCTAAGGATTTATCGCTAAGCCGCACACTTGCTTAATCTTAAGTCTGCAGGAAGTAAATTACTTTTTAATCAGGGCGCGTTCATAAATGTTAGCATCAGGACGTAGGCCAGTCGTGTAATATATAGCCGATCCCTTCATTATGGCGATCGCTGAAGTTAGTGCTCGCTCTGTGTGTGTGGTACTTGCTCCGGCAGTACTCGCAAATTCGTGAAGCGTATGTTTTACAGTGGGGCAAGAGCTTTTGCCGCAACATGGGTAAAGAATAGCGCTCACAAAGAAAAGCATTCATCTCGCTCACGATCGTACAGGGGACTAAACACACGCGCAGATGAACCAGGCTGTGTCATTCATTTTCTGATGCAGCGCAGATGGACTGGGCATATGCTAAAATGATGCACGTTTATTGAACTGCAATAGTAAAATATTATATCGGTATATCGTTCGGCTAATGTATTTTACAGTTGTGAAATTAATTATTGAAATAATAGAGCGTCGTGGGTTTGGATTATAAATTAATTTCACCGTGAGAAAACGATTGCGCAAATACAGTAGACAGTCGCAAGTATTTTTTTGTTAAATAATACCTCATATATAACCAGCTGACACAGCGTTGAGATGACACATATCTTTAGGGATGGGGAAATAAGATGAACAGGAGAACAGAAAAACTAAATCTGTTCACAACTGAAATAAACAAAATCGCAGAGAAACTGGAAATGCATCTGAGCCGGAAGTTGTGTCGCAAATAGATTTGCGTTGCAAATATAAATTCACGTATTGTGCTCTGTACGTTAAAATAAATAAAGATCAGAGTTCAGCTTCTCGGCAAAATCAAATAACTCTCGCGATTAGCAATTAACGATGGGAAATTGCAGTCATTAATGCTTCTTAAGGTCACAACCATGTTTTATTGTAATATAAAATTGTTACTGATTTCACAAATATATTGCGGTTTGAAGATTTTAAAAAAAGTATTTCAGAAAGGAAATAGAGGGAGTTGAACGGAACATCAATCCTGTTACACGTCTGCAGAGTAAGAAAACATTTTCGTGATGAATTGACGATTTATTTACACTAGCAGCAATACGTTATAGACGCGTGGTCAAAAGGTTTTGAGGATGTTTATGTAATCACGATTTATCATCGAGGCACTTTAAATCCTGTTGGTCAGTGGTACACATTTGTTCAAAAAAATTAAGGTATTCACAAAAAATAGATATTTCTTCGACGTCTAACGTATCGCCTGCATTGATCAACGCAGGTTTATTTCTACATGCCGTAAAAACAAAAATTGGTTTGTGTGCACGTAACATATGTTTTAGACAGACTCGCTATAAAATATATATACCCGTACGACATCTTGAGATGTGGCCACATTTACACAATATATACATTACACATTGAATTGCGTCGTATAAATATAAATTTTAAAAACCATACTTTGCCACGTTGACAGTGTCTGATCACTTCAAATGTGTGTGTGTTCATAAGAGATATTTATGTGAGAGTGGCACATTTACGTGGGTTTCAAAATCGCATATCAAAACACTTTTCAGTCATGAGGACACTGGCAATTGAGGCACATTAACGCGTCTATTTGGCAGGTCATTAAAATACATTACTTTCCTCTGCTGCTGCATAATTTAATACCGTCCTGTGTTAATTCTATTTAAATGACATCGTCGGTTGCTGTCGCAAGTGTAAGGGCAATGCAAGGCGTCTGAACTTTCCCCACTTAATTTTCTTACTCTCGTTATTTTGTTTTATTCCTCCTAAGTTACAAACTATTTAATCCCTTAAAAGACTTGGCAGCCACATTTAACGTCTGAATTATCCTCTTTCTAAGCATGCAATGAATGCGAAAGCTTTGAATTCTGAACATGCAATATGGTAAGCAATTGCCGAGAACCCCGTTCATTGTTAAGCGACCAGAAGGACACGACGCATGATGCGTTGCTTTGCCCAACAAAGGCGGCATTTGTATTACTTCCGACCAACTTGAAGATCTGAAAGTCTTTAATTCGTACGGGTTCAAATGAAGGACAAGATATTGATTTAGGAGGTATTCAAACTTTCAGCGAATTCAAGTCTGACAATGCTTTTAATAAAATGCATTATGAAATCGGACAATGTCGCATGATCTCAAGTCTTTGGAGTTTCGTCAGTGGTATAAAACAAAAATACGCGCACTGTTGGCACAATAAAACAGGCTTTTAGCTCGTACAGATCAAGAGGCTTAAGGAAAATGCCAACAACGTAATGAAAATTGTAATTGCTTTTGACGGAAGAGTTTTTAGGCAAAAAAATGTCTGCCCCTACCGAGAGATGCAAAAAAAACCCTTACCAATCAATGCACGAACCCAGCATTATCTGGCAAATCTCAGCCATTCCGCGGGTGGTCATCACGACGACTCAAAAAACCCGCTTCGTTTACGCGGCGATTCGCGGGCCCCACCACGTCCCGTCTTGAGTCTGTGCCACCAGAAGCCCTCCGCTACTCCTGCGGCCTTTTGGAGCCCAGCGCCTGTGATCCAACACGTTGTGGGGGGGGGGGGTGGACGACGACGGTGCCACTCCTCGTGACCCTCGGGTGTTGTGACTTCGTCCCCAGCCCGCTCCTTCCGCGAGGCCCCCCACGGCCACCCCCCCGCCAAGTGTGGCCACGGGGCCAGTTTGGGGCGTGCACCCGAGCGCGGCCGACTTTCCCGGACGCGTTCGCCGTCTTCTCTCATCTCTGTCTCTCACGCCTCGTCCCGCTCGCTCGCTCTCTCTCTCCGCTCGGTTGAGAACCGTCGGCGGGGCCGTAGCCGCTGCCTCGCGTAGAAGGAGCTACGGGCCCGGTTCGTACCATTTTTGTTTGTGGCCACGTTTATTTTGGGCAGCAGAAGTAATGGGAGGCGAGACTCTCTCTCTCTCGCCCTGCTATGAAGCGATGAGCGCCATCGTCCAAAACGCGACCTGTTACGTGACTTGTCCTCCTTTTTTTAGGGCAGCGTTAATCGAATGTGTTGAGGCTTTATTAAATCGGCGAGGGGATCTTTTTTTCAGGATGTGGGCATTGTCGAGCGGGAAAAGGCGTTTTGGCTCAGATTGGATTTTCGGGCCCTGGCTGACGACTCACATCAGCTGCTAAGAATAGAATGATACGATAGTTTAGTTGATGTGAATCTCGTGAATGCGGCATCTTTGTACGCAAGCATCTCAAACAATCTGACGTGAGATCCGCAGGCCCTCAAGAGAGGCGTGTCGCAGCTCTTGCCTAGGCCGTTCCTAATTGTGCATTGTAGCCAAAACCGTCGCAAGCTGCTGGGAGATTATTTAATGTAGCACACACTGAAAGCCTAACTTATTCATATGATTGCTTATTTATGATAATCTCGTTTTCAACACGTTATTTAACAATAACAAAAACATTGTTTGCTATAATTCGATATAAGCCCATATCTTTGATCATTTGTTTAAAAAAAAAAGGTCTGAAGCCACGAGCAGAATCTCAGAAAACAACAAAAGGCTTTCCCACCGGGTAAGGGTTTAACAAGAGGAGAAATTGGTTTTCATGAGCTTGGCTTCTGCCAAGATTCGAACAAAACCCTCTACTTTTGTTACGATACAGCATGGCTCATTGCTTTAATAATTAAAATGTATAAAGCGCCCTTAAACAATCGCTCTCGGGGCACTTTCCCTCCGCGCACCGCTGATCCCAACCATCTCCACCATCACTGCGGCCAGGGTCCTGTGCCCAGACGCAGCTGACCTCTTCTCGTCCGCAGCAGATTGGAGTGCGGGTGATCCGTGTGCTACCACTGTGAGCCCGACCACCCGAGTTCGATAGCCAGGCCACGGCTGACATGAGCGGCGAGGGAGTATTACTGAACCTCACCTGAGCACCGCCTCGCCTTCATGCAGCCGCAACGTGCGTCGACGGCCATCGCCACGGCGGACACGTGGAAGGTTGCGAGGGAGGAGACTCGTAAGAGACACTCTCCACACTTTCGTACGTGCGTGCGCCTGTGTGTGTGTGGTATCGTTATCGTGGGGAGCGGTGGGATAGCGGTTAGCGCGCTGCTGCGCTACGAACCTGGCGACCCGGGTTCGATTCCCGTTCACGGCCACCAACACCGGTGACGATTATCTGAACCGGCCCCGGGCCTCCCCTAGGTCGACTCAGCCTCAAATGAGTACCTGGTGCGATGTGTAAACATCGCCACTAGGGGGACAAAGGTGGCCGGGCGAGGTGTTGGTCAGCCACCCCCTCGTGTGCCGTGCCGGCCTTTATAGGTGCTTGCTAACAGCACTTGCCCCTACAGTCTGTTAAGGCTATGCGAGGCATCTTTGTCTTTTTTATTGTATGGGGAGCGGTGGCGCAGTGGTTAACGTACTGCGCTCTGAACCCGGCGACCCGAGTCAAATGTACGCTCACGTCCAACAACAGTGGCGAATATTTGATCCGGTCCAAGGTCGCCTCCCCTAGGTCGAATGAGCTTCATATATTTGGTGCGGTATTTAAACCACCGGCACTGGGAAGACAAAGGCGGCCGGGCGTGGTGCTGCTGCCCACCATCTCCTTCGTGTGTTGTGCTGGCCTTCATAGGTGGTGCTCGTTAACAGCACTTGCCCCAACAGGCTTTTAAAGACTATACGGGGGATCTTTGTCTTTCGTATAATTTACCTGGTTCGCAATGCTGCAACATTATGGATATCCCATAAATGTACGCGATCTATAATTCAAAAAGAAAACCTGTATTATGGATATTGGTCGTGAAAGCCTACGTATTAAATCCCATACAATACTAAATATTTATTTGGATTACAAAAAAATATACAAATAAAATTACATCATACAATGTGTAGATTATCAAGCGTTGATTAGGAAATGTTAAACAGATTATTTTGTGGTAGTGTATTGGTAGTGAATGCACAAACTGGTCAACAACACTGCGCTTAAAAGGAAAGAATAACATTTTGGTCGATTCATCATCTTTTCCATGTATTTTTTATTTACTTTTAAGGCAGTGTTATTGACAGATGTTTTGACTTGTATAGGTAAGATATTTTTTAAACCAACACGTTAATCATCTCTTGGGTAAAGTATGACATTTTTTCGAAGGAAATAGAGTCGGTGGGTGCCAAGTGCAAAGGTTGTTATCATTGGCCACATTCCCCGTTCGCCCATTGTTTGACAAATTGGAATTGGTTGCTTCAGCACTGACCTGCGATAATCTCTCCATCGGCCTGCATAAGAAGCCACCCTGACTATAACGCATTCCTTCATACTAATGTTTTCGTACGAACCATATTCGTAATTATTTTAAATCACAATAATTATCCATGATATAGGGGGGGGGGGGGTTTGTTCGATCGTGTAAATATCAATGTGTCGGTAAACCCGCCACCACCCGACACAGCCAATTAGTAAGGTTTGTCAGCTAAACAGAACATGCCAATTCGTTACTAGCACGGCACACCGGTGTGTTAGAGAGCAACAATGGAGATCATTTCCGCGTCGTACTCAGATTGTAAATGTTGTGGCTTTGCTGTGTTAGTAACGAATTGGCACGTTCTGTTTACGTGACAAACCTTACAAATTGGCTGTGTCGGGTGGTGGCGGGTTTAACGACACATATATATTTATGCGATCTAACCCAAAACAACTTTATTATGTTAAACTCACAATAATTATACTCGTGTGAATTTAAAATCCCTGTTATTCCCTTGAGCACTGTAGGTTTATATACAATATTTACAATTAGTGTGTATTGATTACACTCTCTTGCTTTTCCATTTTTCACCATTTCTTTGCTACAAATACATTTTTATAAAATCACAACGGATGACTCAGGGTCAGAGCGCCTAAGCTGCCACCACTAAAACATCAAACTATGGTTTCAAGTGTAGCGTTGTTGATGGCACCATACAAACAAAAAGCCCATCAATAAATTGGTTTTGCACTTTTTTTGGCTAAATTCCAGCTCTAAGATTGAAAAGTTTTCGTATGACTGTGTTGCAACAGTGTGATTGCAGAGTGCATGGGAACATGTGCCCCCCCCTACTGTTTACAGGACAAAAAAGGCCACATTAAAGAGGCCATTTTGAGAAACAAATCACTCCTGCAAGGTCCTTCATTGACAAGTATGATGCCCTGCTCTGCAAGATTTCTGAATGGAGTCGTCTTCTCATGACAGTATGCTCTAGAGCATAATTGAAATAAATTGGGTTGGGGGGGGGATATATACATATATATTCTTTAACATTAAAAAACCGCACTGGCTGGTAGGCATAAGAGTGGACTTGTGCGAAGCGTTGAACAGTGGTTTGGCTGTGCGTGTGCACAGCACTTTTATTTAAAGCAGCTGTGCAGGGCGCGTTGCTTGGAAGGTAATTCCAGGAGGATTACCTGCCAATGGCCAGCCTCATCACTCCATCGCCAGGGGACCGCTTTTAAACAATCCAACACTCGTCACTAATGGCTATTGACGTCAGGCGTAAGAGCTCCACTCCGTGACAGTGTGCGAGAGATTCGCTCAACAGCGAGTTAAGTCGCTAACTGCGACAGTTCACGTGCAACAAGGGTGGGACTTTTTTTTTGTTTCTCAAATCAAATTGGCGTGCTCATTTTAATTAGCTACATTTGATGCTTAAAAAAGCACCGTTTCACGCGTTACTAATTAAAATTTATTTTCTCATACCATTCCTCTTTCTTTACTTTGCTCGATCCACGAGGAATAATGTTATTCTCCCTTTCCATGCCAGTTGAAATTAATGAGGCAGAGATTTTTTTCCTTCGGGTTTGTTTTTTTATCTTCCGGTTTTTTTTTTAACAGCAGCAACGTGAAAGAGAACAGCAAAAGCGGGCGACAAGAAAAACAATAAGCGAACAGAACGTGACATTTCACAGCGTCAATTCACTGATCCATAGGAGCACGCACCAGGAGCACGCGTGGCTGTGTTTGTTTACTAATCACTATTGATGGAAACCCACAGGAGAGCCCTGTCTAGGCCCTTGTTTTTTTTTGCGAATAAGGTGGCATTTGGCTCGACTTTGGCAGCGGCAGGACGCCAAGGGTGGTACAGCGTGGCTGCATCAACCCGCATCGCTGAGCACGAGAGAGCCCCCTTTGAAACAATTAATGTTTTGAGCTATGTAACAATCGCGGTTATGAACTAATGACGATTTGGCACAGCAACAGAGAAAGTGACTATCCAACCTGAGAACAGCACTCCAGAAAAAAGGCCCTTCTTAATGAAATCAATGCACTGTGCAAAAATAATGTCTGTTCATATTTCGATTTTTTTTTCACCCCCTCCCACCCCGTCAACTTGCTGGTGACAAGGTGAAATCTGAGAAGGCCGTGCAGGTCTTTTAAGGCTGTGCTGACATTGTGTTCTTGTCTGACGCTCGAATTTTTTTTTTGCTGCAGTCCACCGCAGGCCATTGAAAATAGTTATTTTTCATATTCTATCTTGTCAAACAGGCGACACGCAGTTTTAGTCTTTATTTGTCAGAGAGACCTCAAAGGCTCAACCCGCGGACGTACGCAGAAATCAGCGTAGTGATTCATACAAACAGGTTGGGGTCATGAAGCACTCGGCCGGTTACAAACACACACACACACACGCTGTACCACAGTAAGAAATAAAGATGCAGCCTGCGATTATTTGCTGGCAGAAGCTAGAGGGAGCTCAAGAGAAACCCCGATACAAGGCATTTGGCCTTCTCTTCCACGCTGGGCAGATGTCTCTGAAGACGCTTTGTATGTATGTACGTATGTTGAACTTATGAACTAATCGGAAGGGGCGGGGGAAGGACAATAAACTAAACACCAAAAGCAGTTCTATGAACGCTCTTCTTTATATCGGAATAAAGAGCGTTCCAGACGGCCGCTGAAGCGCATCTGGAGGTGCCGCGTGATGTGATGACCGTCTTTGTTCGATGTTCACTGCACGCGACCCACCCACCGATCGGTATGCCGTGGTGGTGTTCTTCAGTTGCAGCAATTAAAATGGAAAGTTGCCTGTCCAATTGTGGTATTCTTATGGATATATTATAAATGTAAATAAATGCTTGGTAAACAAACAAAAAATCTTATCTCGTAGAATAAATGGATAAACCATATACGTACCTTGTAAACAAATATACTGTGTAAATATAAATAAGATTAATCTAATCCTAGATAATAATATGCACATAATGCAATACTAATAACAATCCAAAATAGCGTTTTATATGTGGTGTGATGGATATTGGTCATGTTTATTTAATGTATTACATATGTATAAATGAGGAAGCAAAATTACACTCACTCACCTAATACCTCACCACACCCCTGCATCAATTGTTCAGTCTTTCAAGAATGTATCGAGTAGGATGTGTGGAGCGATTTTCTCGACGCTAAACTGAAATATCACAGTGATCTAATCGGTTTTAAAACTGTGCCTTTTCTGATGCACCTTTGTTTAACTTTCAACTGACTTACATGCAGGAATTTAGCGGATTTGTACTTTTTAAACTTTTAATTTAGAAATAATTTACTATAATGAGCCAATAATGTCTGTGTGTCCCGCGCGTGACGTCACTCCACGTCGACCAGCCCCCCTCACTAATAATCATGAGCGAGTGACGTCACTCCGCATGGAGAACCCCCCCCTCATTAATAATCATGCACAGGTGACGTCCTCCAAATGGACACCCCCCCCCATTCATAATAATTAGCGGCTGACGTCACTCCACGTGGGGGCCGAGGCACCTCCTCCCCCCTCCTCAGCGTCAACTGACAACCCTCACTACGAAGGCAGAACCCTCACGTCACGTGATCTCCGTCACGCTGTTGAGACATCGAAGTAAACAGGACGTCGTGATGAACAAGGGATTATAACCTTAAAATGAAATAGGTCTGCGTCACCGCGGCCTTACAAACTGCACACGAATTGATGCAATGAATATCACGTGGCGGGATGATTTTCGCTTGCAAG